GCCAACCAATTTCATTGAATATGAAAATAGAACAGACTAATGTGTTAATGAATCTTTCAATGATTTTAGTTGGAGAATCTCCAACTGTATTGCACAATTAAATATGAACAGTGAGACATGAACTTAGCTTGAATGACAATGAATGCAAGGATCTTAGCAGACTGTTGAAATTTCACTTAAGAGTTTTTTGGATTTGGCTTTATAAGACTTGAAATTTTCACGAATAAACCTTTTATGCTGCTTAGGACTTCCAACCCCTTCTTTCCAACTGAGATTAACTTCTGTTTTTCTAGCTATGGGTTTGCAAGAACACAACAGAAAACTTGCTTTGGACTTTATAATACAAAGGAACATAATGGCATAGATGAATTTCCATTTGGAAAAGATTTTAGGATTTCGAAGGTTTATTAAATTTAAATTTCCTTCATCGAACTTATGTTACTTTCACAGTTAGCTTTTAGTCTAAAGCTTAATAAAAACTTTGAACTATCAAGTCCTGCGTGTCATATCCCATGCATGTTAACTATGAGCTTGGCTAGATCCAAGTGCATAACATAAATTTCTATCCAGATTACAATGTGATTTTTTGCATCTTTGTTTTACATGGGGACTCAGAAGTGAATAATATTTCCCAAAAGTTTACACAATTTAATGATGGCTGGATGATGACCCTTCTTTGTCTAGTTTCACCCTAAAATCTCATACCTCTTTTGAATGAACCATTTGCTTATTATTTCATGAAAAATCTTATTGAAATTATGGCCCTGGGACTTGCATGCTGCAGCAGCATATGAGAAAGATAACATCTAATAGGATGTCTTTTGTCTATCCCATAACTTCATGGAACTCTGTTAGTTTTGATTCACGGAATGGGAATGATAGCGTGGTATGCCACTTTTTTGGACTCAGGTACAAGGGGGTTAGGCTTATATAGTGCGCTGAGAAATGTGGTACGCTTCAGGTTCAATTTTTAATTATAGAAATATGAGTTCCTAGTACAATTTTATGCAAGAGTCACATTCAAGGATCAGTAAAGGTAAACGAATTTTCAAGTTGCATTATGGTACGCTTTTTCTTGTTTATTTTTCTAAAAATGGTTGTTTTTTCCCCAAAAAATTAACTAATTTGAATTCTAATCGGGATGCCAGGTATGCAACCCAATTTGCTAGTGTATCATGATCCGGGGCGATTTAACCACGGTCGTGCTTTGCTATAGTGTCCCATGTTCCCAACATCTATGGTCTATCCATTTTGTTTCTTATTTATTCTACTTATCCGTTTTCCTGTCTCCCATTTGCATCCTACTCCTTTCCTCCATTCAATTAATTAAAGTTAGTATACTGGTAGAAACTAACTTCGAGATAAAAACCAACATATGTTTCTCAACATACCTTATTTAGACTTTTTTTTTGAAGGGTCAATTTGATGATTCCTTCTATTTCATATACTTGGTAAGTTCAAATTTCTATGTTTTGCATCTTCCAATATCTTTCTGGGGAAGTGATTGTTTCCTTATCCATTGAGGAGAAATGAAAATAATTTTATTTAATTGTATATTTAGTTTTTTAGGAATTAGTTTCCTTCATTTATGAACAGCTTGCTTTCAAATACCCTTGACTACACTCTTGTTTACTTTTATGCTTTAGAAAAGTTAATTACAGGCAACCACCCACCCCCTAACCTGGCACAAAAAATAAAATAAAATAAATCTATTTCACTAACACTTACACCTGCTAAATTCCTTGTTAGATTCACATGTCATGTGGGAATCATTTGATAATAACTTATATGCCCTTATTTTAGATCGTGCTTTAGGTTTAAACGTTTAATGGGCGGGGCAAAAGTAATTTATCAACACATGATTTCCACATGACATTTCAACCTAAGGAGAAGTTAAGACCACCTGGGGTTCAAAGGGATAAATGCTGATGAAACTATTTAAGGGGTATAAGTGAATACACCACATCTGTATTTGCAACTAACCGTTTAGATAAAATTTTGACCCAAAGTTTCTCTTGTACTATGTTGCTTGACTGTGAGTGGGAGGGAACTCTTACTAAGATGTCAATTCTATTGTTCATTTCTTTTGCTTGGTTTCCAATGTCATATAATAGTGTTGCTTATAAGCATTGATTTTGAGAGAAAATTACCACGTTAAGTCCTGCATTATTGAGGATAATTGTGATAATGTAATATTTTGCAAGAATTAATCATCAAAATTAAATTTGTTAGTATTGTGTGGGGAAGGAACATTGGTAGTAAAGAGACCATTTCGATTAACCTTTGCTTTGATTGTTTCCAATTTCATATAATGATGCTTCTTGCATGCATTGATTTTGAAGGAAAATTGCCTCATTGTCTTGTAGCACCGAGGAACAATTGTGAGACAATATTATGTTGAACAAATTGGTCATGAAAACTTAAGGAGTTAGAATTTAATCTCATCAACTATAAGGCAACTTTCCCTTCTTAAGTTGTAAATCTGAAAGAATGCTAATTGGCCTATTTAGGAAAATGTGTCAACTATCATATTATGAAAGGAGACAGATTTTGCAATCAAGGACATTTTATCACATTTTTTAGGGAGAAAAGAACAAAGCATGAAAAGTAGGTACCAAATAGTCCGAAGAAAGAAAGAACTTCACATAGCTACTCACCTTTTCTCCATCAATTATAATTGCCATGGTTTCATCACCACCAGAAAGAACTTCATATTCACTTTCATCGTCATTCTGATAGGGCTCTATCTCCTGTTCAGTCAGTGTAAATTACTTACCAAATACAATAACAACAACAACAATAAAGCCTTTATCCCAAAATTTTTAGTCATTTTGGGGTCGGCTACACGAACCCTAAACTTCCATTCATCCTCATCCTGATCTTCCGTTTATTTGTAGTCGTTCATTTCAATTACTTGCCGAATGATAAAAGAAAAGTAAATAACTAGAATGATTATTTACCTCTTCCCCCTCGTTAGTGGCTGTATTCATGCTTGCATCATGAAAGAAACCTTCATCTCCGGTATCCTCATCGCATTGACAGAGATCTATAACCTGATCAGCAAATGGACTGTTATTTGCAGTTCGATTTTGCTCAAATGGGGGTTTTGGACTTGGATTGTCCATCCCCTCTTCCTATAATTTGACAAGTAGCTCCTAGCTCTCTCTTCCTTTCAAAACCTCTCTTGTCTAGGTTTGATGTATATCGATAGTCACGAGAATGTACATGGGTACATGCGTCATTTCAGTGAAGGAAATTGGTGAAGATCACGAAGTAGGAAAGCCCCCTACGGTCTCAATTTGTGGACATCTGGATTTGCGAAAAAGTTAAAAGCTTAAAAGCCGTTCGAAGACCCAGATTTTTCTTTTTTCTTTTCTCTTTATATTTCTTGCAGATTCAGTTCCAAGGTCTTTTTAGGAATTCAACCAGCTAAAACTTCCAAGTAAAGCAACTAAAAGTGTTCTAGTTAAACTATCTACCGGTGCACCTACATTTACAGTATATATATACACACGGGATCCCCTCAAACATTAAATTGAACAAGTATTAAGAAGAAAATATTTTATGATCTCACTGGAAATGCTGCTGCTGCTACAACTACTACTATCACTTATTACTAATATAATAATAATAATAATAATAATTTTATTGTTGTTGTTGTTGATGATGATGTTGTAATAATAATAACTCCTTTAGTTATGAACAATTTATTCTATTTTTTAACTTTCGCCAAATTTGCACATATTAAATTTCCATTTCTGGTTCACAGCTGTCAAATTCTGTAGCGTTTTGGTCTGTTCAGGTACATATTTCCACATGCATTTGCTTGCATCTTATATATAGAAGGGCCTGCCAAGGTCGGTTTACATATTTAACGAAATTCAACCATGATGGTAACCATGCATCATCAATCCTTCTATGAATGCACATAAGAAGCGATGCCATAAATTTGGCAATTACTGAAGAAACTTGAAGTAGAAGAAAAGATCTAATCGGCCAAAACATTCATGATATTTCTAAGTTCATATCTAAAGGCCCAAGAAGATACATAGCCAGGGGAACTTGTGTTTAAGCCCCTGAGATTTTCCAGAAATTATTTCCCCTCACCTCTTGTCAATTTCTTTTAGGCTATTGGAATCTTTACCCTATTTATACTTCTAGTACATAGTCTGCCTTACTGAATTTTGTTCGTTGAATTATTTTCATATTATGAAGTTTTTGATATCAACTACCAAAACTTTTGGACTATATATTTTGTTTAAGGGGTTAGGGAGTTAATTGCTGATTTCAAGGGCCCTATAAGAAACGGCCGACTAGACTTGTCAGGAAACAACATATTGACAAAACTTAAGCTGCTGTTATGGGCTTACAATGTAGTTGAATCAGACTGATTACTTAGCGCTCGTTCTCACATGGGCTTTTCTGCCACAAAGGTAGATCTCCAATAAAATGATACTTGTTTAGAAAGAGATAACAAATTGGTTAATCAGATTTATTTTAAATTGTTAATGATAAGTTTGATTCCAAGACCTCTGAATCGTAAGCTCTAAGAGTATGTATATGTTGATCTATTATGCTATTGCTGTGCTCGGATTGACACCTAAGTATCTTGGATATAGTTCTTTTGGCATGCATGAAACAAGAGTTATGTCCAAATTAAACAAATAATTGAAAAAGATCATGTTTACGTTCATTTAAAAATCTAAAGAAACAGGTCTCTGTCGTTTTGGTTATTTCCTCTTGTTGATCCTAGTACTTGTTGTTTGTTGTCATGGTGATAATTGAATTAAAGCTATTTAACATTGGACGTTGTCCATCATTCTTTAGGGTATACATCTTTTGATTTGGAGCATGCATATGACTTAGGCTAGCTCTTCAAATTTAATCGATGCTCAAGTTTTGTCTTTAGAAACTACTACTAAACCATGTTAGCATTGCAATGTCTGGGCTTCTTCTGTTTTCTTAATTAGATAAAGCCAAACAACCCAGAATGAAGCCCCATGTACTGATAACAGAATAACAACCAGTATCATGCATTATGCCTGATTTGATCATGAGCAACAATTTGTTATAAAAGATCATTCTAATGAGTAACTGAATGGAGAAAAAGAGGGATGTTCTAGAATTAAGAGCACATAAGCACTAGCATAGATAGCAATTCTTCCCTCAAGAAATAGATATAATATCTTGAAGGGACTGAAGAGAATGAAGGTGTACCGTGTTAGTCGTGCCATGTCTTGGAAGAAGAATATGGTTCTTATGCTTGTAGGGCTTCAGTATCTTGTGCAGTTTCATATAGTGAAAGTACAATGTCATGCAACCCACAATGGTGATTACGCCGTTGATAGGGAAGGGTTAGGGGTCACATATAAGCATTCTGTGAAGACTGTTCAAGTAAGTCTTGTGCCAACTACCGCTGCTGCTTTATACTATTGCAGCACTTTTAACTATTAGGATGCTGATTAATGGAGAAATTCAAATATATTCTGAGACTAAGAAATTCGAACGTACATGCTTATTACTTGCTAACTAAATTTTACTATCTACGGTGAACCATATAGTCTTGGTGTGTCCAGTACCATTCTGGATTATACATTCAATATTCACTTAACACATGCTTGAAAACTGAATTCTAAGTGATATGTGCTGCCCAATAATTTTATAATTCATGGTGGTTTTCCTTGAATCACAATTGTCCTGCAACTGCAAGTCAATTCTGATTGCATATAAGAGAACTGAATTAAATTTATTAAATAATTATTCGGAAAACACCTGATATTTTATATGGGAACCCGAAAAAATTTGATGATGCTAGACATTTATTTGAGAGAATATTGTTTGCCTTGCTGATAACACTATTGTACGAGTTCATTGAGTAATTTACTCATGAGAAGAGCTTAGTCTGATGGAGCGAACTAGATTTTTTCCCCCTCCGTTTTTGGGGGCTTTCTATCTGCTAATGTATAGGGGGGTAATATAGCTTTGTCTCTGTCCAGAATGCTCGTGGGGATATCTTTGATTGTGTTGATATCTACGAGCAACCTGCTTTGGATCATCCATCTCTCAAGGATCACAGAATACAGGTTCAATTTTTTATGTCTATTTGAAAATTTCTGTAGTATTGAGAATTTAGCTATGAATATATCAAGATGGAACCTAAGAACCTTCAGACCCAGACTGGTTCTGTTCATACATACACACACACACACTCACACAAAAAGCAGATCAAAGTAGAACCAGTTTAAGTCAAAACTGGGCCTGGATTTTTCCGAACAGAGCCTCTGTTTTTTCCATATAAAAAGAGAAAGACAATTTCATGTTGCAGATCTGAATCCACCATAGGATCTGCATGTTTTTCTGTCGACAATAGGATCATTAGTTGGAATTAATCAATAAAATAATTTAGCTTTAATGTTTCATTTAGGAATCCAAATGAATATTACATTGAATAAAATAGAGCAAGATATAGTGATAAAATATTTTCCAAATAATGAGATAAAGTGCTGCCAATTTAAGTGTGTGTTGTAGACTCTTACCTGTTTCAAATAAAATATTACATTGGAAGATCATTTTGAATTTTTTGAATTCCTTCAACTTACTTACCTGTCTCAAATTAACTAGTGAATAGACTCTTTGAAGTCCATTCATTCCATCAAAGCCTTACAGAAGGGGTTCTACACGTGAAAACTCTTAATTTGTAAATATTCAGTTACAAATCTTTCCACTATGTAAAAATTTTTGTGTGTGCGTGTGTGTGTCTTCACACATATACACATAACAATTACTTTTCTTACACGTAAAGGATATTATAACTCTGTTCATATTGAAATGTTATTTACTATCCAGATGGCACCTAGCTCTTTTCCAGGAGGCCAGACTGAAGAAGGCGCATCGAAAATATTTCCTCATGATATATTTCTGAATGAAGATTGCCCAATAGGAACAATTCCTATAACGAGGTCTAGAAAGAATGGGTCTTGCCTGACTAATACTAGTAGCAGCAAGACTATGGACGTTACTCAAGACAAAGTTTTAAAGCCTCTCGGCTCTTATGTACGTTTAAATAATTTGAGTGCTCTTACAAATATTCTAGAGCTTCCTAGGTACATGTTTATTATGAAATATTGTGGGAAAAGTTATGAAACAAACTTTCTGAAGTTTTTTCTCACTTATACATGCCATATTATTAATAAATTTAAAATTAAATTTTATGTTATGAAAATGGGAAGGCATAAGGATTAAAGCAGATTATTTGTTTCAATTTCTAAAGATCATTTGTTTCAATTTCTAAAGATCGTTTGTTTCAATTTCTATAGGTTCAACAAAAGAAAGACTTGAAAAGTAACAACTGCCTATGGATTAAACATTTGTTATCATAGTTTTATACAAGTTAATTTGATTCAAGTTAACTTGTAGGAAGCACAAGTAAGGATGAAATCTGGTAGCTACTACGGAGCTGAAGCTACCTTGAACGTATATGGCCTGCCACAAGTATCTGCAAATCATTTAAGCTCCAGCATAATTTGCATCTTAAATGATGGTGATGGAAGGGGAGATGTAGAGAAAGACAACAGTATAATGGCTGGATGGATGGTACGTGATCCTTATTATCAATGTTTTTTGACATCTACACATGGCACATAATCATAATCGAAGGCAAGAATGGGATTCTTGTAGCTGACCCCAAAAATTTGGTATAAAGGTTTCGTTGTTGTTATATCAATGCATGGAACTTAAAGTATTGAATAGGCCTTAGAGAGAGCATGGCTCGTATGTTAATTTGATTATGAAACGTAGTAGTTCGTATTAGAGCTGAAAGGAGTCACTTTCAAGTTTCAACTTAGGTCAATGTGAACAATGCCTTGCGAAGAGAAATAGGCAATCTGTTTAGCTGGTTGGGTGTTTAGATTACAACTAAGCAGGAGCACCACTTGCCCAAATTCACATATAAAATTTATTTATTTGTTTTATATGATTCTAAGACAAGTCCATCATAAATTGAAACTTAATCCTTTTTTTATTAATTTTAACTTTTAGGAACATGTTCCTCAACAAAACTTCAGAAATGAGGTTTGTTGCTATCAGGACTATGTAGAGGCCTTTCCTTCTGAAACCACGTTAGATAATCACTTCTATAAAAGCTGAAGATGATTACTAGTCAACATTGCTTAAGAAACTATTTGAAAAATATGTTCTTTAACTTGTCATTTAATGTCATTACTAAATTTATGCTGTACGTTACTGCTTCATATGCAGGTTAATCCCAGCTTATATGGTGATAACAATACGCACCTATTCATAAATTGGACGGTACAACATGAATATTTTGAGAAATATTTGACAGTTTCTAGCAGAGTTTAAGATTTTTTTTCTCTTTATATAGATCGATGGTTTTCGGAACACAGGCTGTTATGATCACCTTTGTCCAGGATTTGTGCAAGTTAATCCTGGAATTCCCCTGGGTGCTACTTTGGGTCCCCTTTCAGTGTATGATGGAACTCAGTACGCCATTAGGCTCCTTGTATTTAAGGTCGGCATTTCATATTTTTCCATTTAAATTAGTATTTTTCTTGTGATCCATTTTTTCGCAAAATGATAGTTATACAATTATCAGCTGTTGTCTGTTTTATCATTTCTTATTTATTTTACTTCTTAGTATCACTTGAACATGGGCAACTTTTCGAAAGCATTACCATTCTTGTTGACCATTAGATCTTATTTTTCTTTATACAACTTCATGAAGCACAATGGCTCTCTGTTGCCCATTCCTTTTTTGCGTGTAGGTGTTAAATTTTAATGAATCATGTGATGGATATCTTAATTGATGGGTACATAAACAACCCTGAGAAATGTTAGAAATGTTCTAATGTTAGTCTCCCTTAGCGAACATTGAACCTCTATTAGCCGGATGGATATCTTAATATTCATTTCTTCTATTAACAAGGATTGCGTCCAAACACCAAGTAAGTCAAGAGGAGGCCTGAAAATTTCCCTCTTTGTTCTGTAGCCTGCAGACGTATTTGCTATTTGTACTGCTTCTATTCTATCGCTCAGATATTTCTATAGCCGAATGATTTTAACTCCATTTTCTATAACAGGATCCAACCACTGGAGATTGGTGGCTAGCATTTGGAAAAAACAAAGAAGCAGTGGGCTACTGGCCAAAATCCCTCTTCAACACTTTGAATGATCACGCTACTAAGGTTTATTGGGGAGGTTTGGTTAAAAGTCCTATCAATGAACCTAGTGCTCCTATGGGAAGTGGGCATTTCGCAGCCGAAGGTTTAAGAAGAGCATGCTACTCGGCGGATCTCTATCTTGTCGATGGCTCAAATGACTACATGCGCATTCCTGAAGACGAGGTTGAGTTTCGTCATAGTGATCCTGGATGCTATAGGACTACTGGGTATCTTATGAACATGAATTTCGGCTCCCAAGGTTTCCTTTTCGGTGGGCCCGGCAATTGTGCATTAATGATGATTTAATAGCACGTTATGTTTTGTATCTATCTTAACAAAGTAACGAAATCATGTTGTATCACGTTTGGGTAGGTATTCAAAATTCATGGAGACTACCTAATGTTGGTAAAATTCCAAAATATCAGATTGTAGATTCTGAGGAGAATTGCAATTACAAGGAAAACCAAGTAATTGATGGGCTGATGTGTAAGGTGCAGGTCCTAATGTATGATAAGGATTAAGGACAATGTGAACAATGACTGAATCATAAGAAGTATCACCTGTGCACGTAACATCATATAAAGTATAAGGGCTTTGCTATAGGGACCTAAAATGATGGTCAGCTCATTATACAATAGGAGGAGGACACCTCACTTATATCCCCCTGTTGGTCTCATATTTTGGGTCTTTGGGGAATTTTTTAAAGTATAAATCTGAAAAATCTCAATAAGCAGAGTTCTAAACATATGATTCATCTGAGGTGCGTGTGTTGTTTTTAACCAAGAGGACTGGGATGGGCCTGAATTGGTCAGGCATAGGATCTTGTTGAATGTTCCAATAGCATCTGCTGATGAAAGAGAAGGCAAAGATAATAATTAACATGAGGTTTCAAATTGAAGCATATTTGGATCTTGCCTCAAAGATATGATATTTTTTAAGTCAAGCACGTGTTAGTTTCCTTGCAATGCGATACTGTGCGCAAGAATTCAGGGGAGGTTCGGTCGCGTAATAAAAAAAACTAGAATTATTATAAGACGTCCCGTATCGAGCGGATCCGTGGCGCAATGGTAGCGCGTCTGACTCCAGATCAGAAGGTTGCGTGTTCGATTCACGTCGGGTTCAATTCCCTTGCGTCCGCTTTAATTTTTTTTTTGCCTCCTCAAAATTCAATCCTTTTAACTTTTGCAATTTTGCATTTTGGTCCCTCCAGAATTTGTTGTTTTAGTTAAGCTCAAGCGCAACGCGCTTAAATGTCATCATCCCCTTCACTCCCCTTTCGCCCCTTTTGTTAAAAGTCATCGGTCAAATCTTCTATTTTCACGCCTTGTATAGAAGTCATCGTTAAATTATTTATAAACCAGGTCCTTAAATATATACGTATTTTAATTTAGGAGAAATCAAAAAGAAATATTTACATTAGTTTGCTTTCATTATCTTCAATCACGAAAAAAAATAAAATAAGAATGCATGTTCCGGTGTTTTTCTCCGCATCTCTATCGTAATTTCGTGAAAATGGATGAAATTAAAAAGCAACGATCGAAGGAACATATGAGCTTTCAAATGGGAACTCAAGAAAATGAGAACTTAAAAGCCTAACGGTCAGGTCCGTGTATGATTTGTCGTCTTATAATTATACACAATGTCTGCTATCATATATTCTTCTAACTTAAGAAATAATTTGATTTTGCCTAACAAATTGCCACGAAACTCCCTGAAATTGCAAGGTCAACTTGGAATTATTCCAAAGTCCAAAAAAAGATTATTCTTTTTCCTTTTTCTTTTTTGTGGTGAGGTGGGTGGAAGTCATCACATTGCTAATGGCGCGACTGCAATTATACATTATAAATCCTTATTCTCTTGAATAATGACGCCCTAAAAGAGCTTTCTCGAAAGCAACTAATAATGATATAATTATGGTTAGCTTAATGGAAGAGGTGGTCCATAATAAAGCAGAATAGAAGGATAGAATTCATGTAACTGACTCTAAACATTTGATATAAATATTCACTCAACATCAACCCAAGTAATATTCTATGTCCGATTGTTAAGCCAACAGTTATATTCAAATCTTATCATTATATCAAATTTTTAAGATAGTTTTTTTTTTTTGGAAAATTTTTTGAGATAATTAAGACCTAAATTAATGAGGAAAATGATATCCACCGTACGTCTACAATTGTAGTGCAAGTTTCCTATCATTATTTTTTTATAACTATATAATTTCTTAATGAAAACTTAGTTTTCAAATGTGAGAACGGAAATATACATCCATCAAATGTGCTATCTTCTTTTTGACTGAGAGCTTGGCGTGCTATTGAAACACAAGTTGTAAAATGTTGAGGACGGCAACATCATAGTTGAAATGAAATATTCGACATTTGGATATTTAATTAGCATTGTCTCATTGCTTTTGAAAGTTTCTTCCATTTAGAAAGAGGATATTTGAAAAAGGTCCAGTATTTTCAGTCATAAAATTTGATCATGAGAGAGAAAAGAAGTGTACATATTCACCTTTAATATACTATCCACATTCCTTTCACATTGATATAGGAAAAAAAATAGTGATTCTCATTTCTCGTTATCATTTTCGAAGTTTTAATATGGTAAATGTGCTTTTTTAATTAAAAGAGTGTCATGGTCAAGTTCAAACTCCAACCGTCACGTTTTCAAACGAATTTTAAAAGAGGATTAATTATAGACGTGCCTCTTGTATTATTGGTAATTAGCCGGCCGCTTATTGCCCCTATTTTTTGTTAGAATTTAGATCTCCTCAATACATAGAAATATCAAATGATCAACGCCTCGCTTTCACAAAAAAAACATTCTTGCATAAGATGAAATTATATTTTGATCTAGTAAAAGAATGTTCAACTTGTCGGAACATATTGGACTATGAAAATATAACAATCAATCCTTAGTCACAACTTCAAAGTTTTAAAGACAGACATAGATTTTATCCTTAAAGATCACTCTTTTAATTGTTGGGTACTTAAACGTATCACACATCTATCAGTAAGGATTCTATCAGAACACTCTACAGAAAGGGTTGATAGTCTATATCATTCACGGATAGTTAGATGGTTAATTTAGAAATTACAACTCTTCTATTTATGATATATAAATCACCCACCTTAATTATAGGATGGTTCTAATAATTAAGATTTTAACTGCACATTTATCTGTTTTCTTGTCCGAATGCACCAATTAAAGATCATACGATAGATACTTCTTTCTTTATATCACAAGGTGACATTTTCTTTTGTCCGAAGCACGTCCTGCTTTATTTATTTGTTTTCTATTGGTTGTATGAGCTTGATTCCTAGTTCTTTTTACCAAGAAAATCTAGAAATAAAAAAAATTAAGCAAAAAGATTTTGTAGTACATCAAAAGTTCAAGTTGGTGGCTCAGAATGGAAACTGTGGTCCGCCTCTCCACCGTACAGAACGAACGAGATATACTGGTCAACTTCCCTTTATTACTTATTGTGGTTTGAACTAACACGGCACTCTCTCCCTTTTTCTTTTTCTTTTTCTTTTGGTTGTGGTCGTTGTTGTTGTAATAAAGCAAAATTGACTGTGCGAGAGGGGGAAAAGTTGCTACTAATAATTGTTTTGACCAGAAAACATACATGATTAATTACTAGCTCCGTATGTTTTGGCCGCTCAATTTTTTGTGCCCAGCAAACCCACAAGACTAGTAGTCCCGTGGATTTGCTGGCCACAACAAATAAGTGCCCGATAAATCTATGGACAAATCTACGGGACTAGTAGTCCTGTAGATTTGTCGGGTTATATAAAGCCCAGCTGTGCCCCAAATTAGGACACAACTCTCTCACTCACACACACTCGCTCTCTCCCTCTCTCTCTCCCGATCTCTCTCTCCCAAACCTGAACTTAACCCCTCCCAAACCCGATCTCCATCTCTCACAAATCCGACCCCTCCATCTCTCCCAAACCCGATCTCTCTCCCCCCCAAACCCAACTCACCTCTTTCTCCCTCAAATCTGACGCCGACGCCGACGCCGACGATTCTCTCCGACGCCGACGAGATCTGAAAGTTCATCAAGGTATAAATTTCTTATTTTTTTCATAAATTTCTCGATATTTAATAGATTTTTGTAAATTTCAAATTTAATAGATTTTTAATCATTTATGTTCTTTTTAAAAAAAAATTATGGGTAATATTGACCATGAAAGGTTTTTCCTAAACCTATACTTTTAAAGTGAGTATGATATTTTTTGTAAAATTTTAATTTTCTAGGGTTGTTAATAATTTTATATATTCATTTTAGTGTCTATAGGTTAGAAATTATCATAGTGTTTTTTTTTATAAATTATGAATTTTAGGGGCTTTTTATAACTTTTTAAACTTATAGGCATTTTCTACAGATTGTAAATTATTTATAGTCTATTTAAAATTCTTATGCTTTTAATTTACTAATGAGTTTGAAATTCTTAGGGTGTTATTTATAAATTTTGAATTTTAAGGTTTTGTTTACAATTTTTGAAACTTCAAGGGTGGTTTCTATAAATTATCTAGGGGATATTTGTAATTCCTATATTTTCAATGTACTATTAGGTTAGAAATTATCATGATTTTTATAAATTTACAATTCTAAGGGTTTTATTTTATAATTTGTAAAAAGTTCAAAGTGTTTATTATAAATTTCATAATTTTTTAAGGGTTGTTTGTGTTATTTGTACATTTTTAGTGTGTTAATAAGTTTGAAATTTTCAAGGTGTTTTTTTTATAAATTTTAACTTTTTAGGAGTGCTTTTATAATTTTTAAAACTTAACAAGATATTTTCTCCAAAGTCAAAAAGTTTTACCTTCTAGCTAGCATATGTTTTTCAAATTTCACACTGAATTGAAGTAAGTAAAATTTATAATTTTAAAGATGTTTTAATAAAATTTTAAATTTGTAGGGTATTTCCATATTGATAATCATAATTGAAGAATTAAAATTCATCATATACAAATTAGATTTTTTTTCCATATTGATAATCATAATTAAAATATTGGGGAATTTATGAAAAATAAGAAATTTATACCTTGATGAACTTTCAGATCTCGTTGGCGTCGGAGAGAATTGACGGCATCAGCATCGGATTTAAGAGAGAAAGAGGTGAGTTGGGTTTCGGGGAGAGAGTGATCGGGTTTGGGAAAGATGGAGGGGTCGGGTTTGGGAGAGATGGAGATCGGGTTTGGGAGGGAGATGAGTTTGAGAGAGGTTGAGTTCAGGTTTGGGGGAGAGATGGAGATCGGGTTTGGGAGGGAGATGAGTTTGAGAGAGGTTGAGTTCAGGTTTGGGGGAGAGAGAGATCGGGAGAGAGAGAGAGAGATCGGGAGGGAGAGAGGGAGATCAGGAGAGAGAGAGAGAAATCGGGAGAGAGAGTGTGAGTGAAAGAGAATAGGCGGTGCCCTAATTTGGGGCATAGCTGGGCTCTTATATAGCCTGACAATTCTACGAGACTACTAGTCCCGTAGATTTGCTGGGCACTTATTAGTTCTACCCAGCAAACCCACAGGACTAGTAGTCCCGTGGGTTTGATGAGCATAACATTTGGGTGCCCAAAACATACGGGACTACTAGTTCCGTATGTTTTTTGGGTGAGCTAATCGGTGATTAGTTCACCTAAAACATACGGGACTAGTAGTCCTGTATGTTCTGAGCAGAGCGTTTTTTAAAATCGACATCTTTTGGCTTGTTAGCCAAAAAGATGTCGATTTTGCTAAATAATTAGCAAAATTGTCGATTTTGCTAATTATTTAGCAAAATCGGTCTTTTTAAAAAAAAAATTCATTCCAAAATGTATTACAAATAGACTAAACGGACAAATGTATGTCAAAATCTTATTAGATTAAATACTTTTGAAATTCAACCCCCTAAACATATTTCACAGTGTAATTTGAAAACATGTTGTACTAAAGAAATCTATGATGCTAATATCATGAAGTAGGGCGCGATTAGTAGTGTATTAGGCTAATTGTATTACTCTTTCTTACCATGATTTCAAACAAAAAGTTAAATAAATACTACAACAAGCATCATATTTATATGCATCCAAAACAATTCTTATATTTTTATTATAAAACCCCGATTGCTAAAGTGAATCTTCTTAAGCTTTGACTTTTTACCTTCTAATTAATAACTCATTTTTATATGTGACATTTATGTTTCATTTATTTCTCTCTATTCCTCTCCTTCCAACCATCCCACTTCTATTTCAGAAAAATGTAGGGATGACATTAAAAATGGAGTAGATTTTCATGGAAATGCTATCACAATAATTCAGTGTCAAGTTGTAAACTAGAGATTGATGAAAAGCATATGAACGACACAATCAGTCTCTCATGTGATTGTCATGTAACTTCAACAAGTGACAAGTCCCTGCTCACAAGATATACCTCCATCTACCAATCATGTCAATTTCAGTTTTAAGTGTAATAACTTTATTTGGGAAAACTTTTATTAATTAGTATTTCCTTAAATAGTTTGAACCTTAGTGTAAGTTGAGCAAAGATGAGTCTCTCATCTATAATATTAAAGCATCTTTTAATATTGCTATTGTGTTTACAGAATAAGTTTGTCATACATAGGATTATAATTTTTTTACCCTATTAATCTATGTTGGATATTAGCTATTTAGTAAATTCTATCATCTATGTTTGTATGTTTTGTTTTAGCTTCAAACGCTCATGATTAACGTGATAAGGTAATTAAATTTGAAACATGATATAAATTGGTTCCTTATTTTGTCTCATTACTCTACACATTCAGATCCTTCCGGCTATTGGCCAATCTAAATACCTAAAAGTCCTAGCACACAAACATCTTATTACGTCTTTTATTTGGGTTCCATGAATAGTGGTAAAATCTAAACCAGTTTAAGCACATGAATCAAGAGTTCTCCATCGCTTCACTTCATCATTTTATGATCCACATCCAAAATTTTCGACATTAAAATAAGTACGCCACGTGCAATGCACGTACACTTAACTAGTATTACAAAGGATTAAGTACTAATCATATTACCTGATCCAAGCAATTAGCACAACGTCCAAAGGTGGGGCCCATCAAAACTGATCTAATTCTAAGAGCATCTCCAACAGCTTCTCCATCTTTTTGAAATACTCAATTTTGGAGAATATAGAGCTTTTTTTTGGTCCAACAGATTCCCCATCTCATTCCCCAAAATAGGGAAGAATGAGAAAAAATAGGGAGCCTTCCCCAAATCTGCAACATTCTCCAAAATTTTGGGGAGAGCTTTATTATTTTAATAAATGCAATTTTTCAAAATGGAGAAGCTGTTGGAGTTGGAGCAAAAATAATTTGGAGAATATGACTTTTATTTCTCTATTTTGGAGAAAATTTTGGGGAAGCTGTTGGAGATGCTCTAATTTTATCAAATGAATATTTGTATATGGTCCCCTCTTTATAATGCAGAAAATATACTAGATGTAAGCATCCCGTTAGTTTCTATCACCCACAGAGAGAGAGGGAGAGGGAGAGGGAGAGGGAGCGGGAGAGGGAGAGGCTCTGTTCTCAAAACCCCATGGCTGGTTAGAGCCCTACACTCTTCTCCATTTCATTATTTTTAAAATCTTTTTTCATTTTGTTTTTTAGATGAGAAGAAATCATATGATGATCCAATTCCCTCCACACCAAACTCCCTAGAAAAAGATCGAATCTTTATATTAAATGTGAATTCAATAAGTCCTCAAAACCCACTCCAAACCCTCAAATCTCATTAATCTCCCTCCTGTAAATTATAAAAAAAAAATTCAAGAAACCAACTATTAAACTACACGTTCAAAAAGATTTGATCTTTATACTCTCCACATAGGTCCCATGAGCACTGTTCTTTAACAAATCTAGTTCAAATGCAGCTCCTTTATCACTGTTGCTATCCATTACACTACTCTTAGTAGTAGCTCACCGGCCAATCTCAGCTAGAAGAGAAGTGATCAAATCAAAGCATGGGGCTGTGGCCACCGACGATGGTCGGTGCTCAATCGTGGGAAGAGATGTGCTGAGAGAGGGCGGCAATGCGGTGGACGCAGCGGTGGCCGCTGCCCTCTGCTTGGGTGTGGTCAGCCCGGCGTCGAGTGGGATTGGTGGGGGTGCTTTCTTGGTGGTGAGGATGGCTGATGGCAGAGCTCAGGCCTTTGATATGAGGGAGACCGCACCCTTGTGGGCATCCGAGGTGAAATTTTTAGTTACTTATCAATATTTGCTCTTTGAGTTATCTCGTCACTGTGATTTTGGAACTGTTAGGGCCTGTTTGTTTGAAATCCTAAAATTATAGGATATGGAATCCCATCAAGAATATTAAATTCGTAGCTTTTTATACATGCCTTAGCATTTCTAATCTTTTGTTTGAGCATGAGTTTACTGATTGCAAAGAAAACTAGTAGTTACAAAAATGAATACATTGGGAGGGAGGGATGAAAATAGAGTAGAAATTTATGTGAGCTCTTCTACTTCTATTTAACAGTCACGCTGAAGCCTATGCTTTCACTATGCCCTCTTTGGGGTGTTGTAGCCTGCTGGATTGAAGATTTTTGGATTGTTGTATGTATCATCTACTTATGTTGATATTTAGGGCAATAGGATTTTAGTGCTAATTTCTTAATTGCTTTAGTTATATATAATTTTGTTTTAAAAATTTTGATTAAATTCTATGTGTTTTCTATGTCTTACTTACATCTTTTAGTCATCAAAAATTCTGGTACTTCTTTTGGCACTAATGCCCTGTCGGAGCCTAAGCTTTGCCTTACCCTATCGCTGTTGCTTTCGCTTTCAATGAGTTTGTTAAATATCTTGTAAGGAAATAAAATTATGAATATTGGTGAACCTTCTTCAACTAATTGAAAGCGATGTCTCATCTCTTGGTTTCTTGCTAACACAAATATCATTTGCTGGTGTTCTTAAATTGCTAACATCCTTTAGGCTTTAGGTTACCCTTCGCTACAGTTTTGGGCATGTGTCTTTGAGTGACCAGGATAAGCGTTTTCTTCAAATTACTGTGCGTTTGGGCATGTGAAAATGCTTGCATAATTGAAATTAGAGTACTTTAAATTAAATGTTTAATAAAAAGTTGATTGTAAAGGGATGTATATGTTTTTTATCGATATGTGAAGGTAAATTGCCTAAGTTTACCATGTATTATTCACCACTTGCCTTAATGGGTGCTAGTCTAGTCAATCAAAGTATTTCGAACAGAACCCCAAAATTATGACATCTCAGAGACAAAACTTGGTTAATTCGACTGGAAGATTATTTGATGAGGGTTCTATAAATAAGTTGCCAGAGATTGAGTCAGTGTTTTAGCAACTATAATTTCTCGGCTGATTTGGTACATTTTTCCTTGCAGAATATGTACTCTGGTAATGCTGCTTCAAAATCCAGTGGTGCTCTTTCAGTAGCAGTACCAGGAGAAATTGCAGGCCTTCATGAAGCTTGGAAGCAGCACGGAAAACTTCCGTGGAAGAGGCTAGTTGTTCCCGCTGAAAGCATCGCTAGACGAGGATTCAGAATATCTCCTTATTTATACATGCAGATGAATAAAACAAGTGCAGGCATTTTTGCAGATAGAGGGTTGCGTGATATACTAACAGCAAACGGAAATCTCTTAAAGCCAGGTGATATCTGCCTTAACAAAAGACTTGCACAGACATTAAGAGCTATTTCAGTCTATGGACCGAAGGTATTTTATAACGGTTCAGTTGGAATTAACCTAGTTAAAGATGTTAAGAGAGCAGGAGGTATATTGTCACTGAAAGACTTACAAGGTTATAGGGTGAAAGTGACAGAACCGATGTCTGCAGATATTATGGGCTTAAAGATCTTGGGTATGCCTCCCCCTTCATCTGGGACTGCTGGAATGATCCTTGTAAGTGTATACTATTTCTTTTAGTCTTTAATATGGACCTAATGTGCAAGGTTTTAAATGTCGGCCGACGTGTCCGACATGTCGACCGACATGTTGGTTTGAGGGCTTGAACGACACGACATGGGCGTTTTCAACTCGTATGTCGGTTTTTAGGGCCAAATTGGAAATATCGGGGCCATATCGTGCATATCGACCGGTTTTTCATCTTTGAAAAAAGGCCGATATGGCCATTTTTTTAGATCTATTTTTTGGTATCGGGTTTGGGTTTAGTGATAAAAACTCAAATCCGTTTGACTCGTTCTCATGTTTATAAGGGTTTCTTATGAACCTGATAGAAAGAAAAGAGAAAAATTAGGGCTGCAGCGGAATTGGAAACTCATCACTCCTTTCACGAATGACGACGCCCTTCCCCCACCTCCATCTCGGCCCATCGTCGTCCATCTTCCCTTGTGCCTCGAAATTCAAACCCCAACCGAACTCGAGGACGACAGTGTATCCCGTCGTCGGGATAAAGAGAAGAGGGTGGTCGATGACTCATCCGAAGGACCCCGAGCAGACGAAGAAGAAGAAGAAGAGCTCCGACACTATCTCCCTGCGACGTCCCGTCATAGGGAGGCAGTCCCGTCGCCGGCACTGCCTCCCTGCGAAGTTGGAATCCACCCATCGCCGCCGCCGCCTCTACAATTTATAAAGTATGCTTATATTGAATTTAGGGATATTTAGATTACATTTAGGACATGATATTATACATATGCGCACCACCCGATATGGCAATCCGATATTTAGGCCATGTCCCCCGATATATCCCCGATTTTCGCTATTCGACATGGATTTCTGCCGTCCGACGTGAACCTGACATCCGACATTTAAAACCTTGCTAATGTGTATGCTCAATGGGGAAAAAAAGCTGGACCTAAAATGTTTTCTCATCATAATTTATTGAATATGTACTGCAAAGTTTTCCTCAACTTTCAGTTATCATTTACTGACAGAACTTATATTCATCACAATCTGTTGATATAATGTATATTTCCATTTTGCTCCATTTTGGTGTTGCAGATATTAAATATTCTTTCTCAATATCAAATACCTTCAGGTGTTTCTGGTTCCCTTGGGCTTCATCGGTTCATTGAATCATTGAAACACATGATGGCTGTGAGGATGAATCTTGGGGATCCTGACTTTGTAGATGTTTCTCAAGTTCTATCTGATATGCTCTCTCCCAAGTTTGCAGCAGAGTTGAAGAAAAAAATATTTGACAACATGACATTTGATCCTAGCTACTACGGTGGAAAGTAAGTAAAACAGTAACCTGGGTTTTACCTTTTTTCTTGATATTGAGTTTCTTGTGAAATGCATACATGTATTTCAAATCATATTTGGTTGTTCCGTTTAAGCACAGGAGATGGCACTTTAACATAATGAAAACAGATTTCAGAATAGCTTACCAATTTTCTGAAGGGTGAAGTCATTTTTCATGTCAATATAGCATGCGCGGGCGCACAGACACGCACACATCCTTTTATGAATGCATTTGAATTTGACTCTCACTTGCAAATTTCTCCCTATAAGAATAGACAAGACTTCCAATTGTAAACCCTTCTTTTTCATTTCTATTTTAAGTGAACATCTTATATGTTTCCGTTACTGTCATGCACAAATTTCTTACAAATTTATATGCTAATTATCAGAAATCATTTGTCTCAGGTGGAATCTAATCAATGATCATGGAACCAGTCATTTAAGCATTATTGATGGTGAACGAAATGCTATTTCTATGACTAGTACAGTAAACTCATACTTTGGTTCACAGCTTTTATCACCAAGTACAGGAATATTGCTCAACAATGAAATGGATGATTTTTCCATCCCTGGGAATTCTTCTGCAAATACTCCACCACCAGCTCCTGCTAATTTTATCATCCCAAGGAAAAGGCCATTATCCTCTATGACGCCAGCAATTGTTCTCAAGGTATTGTGCGAGTTATTTATTGTGGAGGATAAAATAGAGGACATACAAGTTGTCTATTATTGTCAGAAAAATATCCAAATAGGAGTATTTGTCATTAAACCTTATATATGTATCATATTCATCGGGTCTTGTGGATTTTGTTTGGAATAGAATTCCTTAGGGACTGTTATCCTTATGTTTTCCGTTAACATATCAGGGGAAAAATGGAGTGTTAAATTCTGTCACTTGTTTCTCAGGATGGGCATTTGAAGGCAGCAGTAGGTGCAAGTGGGGGAGGCATGATAATTGCTGCAACGACTCAACTCTTCTTGAATCACTTCGCTAAGAGAATGGACCCCTTCTCTTCTGTTCTTAGCCCAAGATCTTATCATCAGGTTGAGGGGAAAGCTCTGGTTTATTTCCTGGAGCTGTCTTTCCGAGATCTTTTGCTAGATACCACTTAAAACTCAATGTATTATGAACTAACAATATATTCACCTGCAAACTTGACATATCTCACATATAAAGCTATGAATAGGTTAAGCAAACATATCTTTAAATTATCTATCTACGACACTTGACTCTTCGAATGTCATATAAACAGAATCTCACGGAGCTCTCCTGACATCTCATATGCCAAGAACAATTACTTTCATTGTACATTAGCGATAGCTGCAACATATATCAGGAGCTCTATTGCCTTCTCTAATCACTCTGAATTTTTTTTAAAAAACAACCACTTTGATTAACTTTGCTTGTTGTATATGCAGCTGATTCCTAATGTGGTTCAGTATGAGAACTGGACAACAGTTACAGGAGACCACTTTGAAGTTCCAGAAGAGGAAAGATTAGCCCTAAAGAAGAAGGGCCACGTCCTACAACCGTTGGCCGGTGGGACCATTTGTCAGTTCGTCGTTCATAACTCCGAAAAACCTAACGAATTCACTGGAGATGTTCCCTCTGGTGATCTTACCGCTGTGAGTGACCCAAGAAAAGGTGGTTTTCCAGCAGGATACTAAAACAACTGGACGCAAACTGTAGTTATCATAGAAGGATTCTCGACTCCGATAGCATTTCAAATTTGATTCACAGAATAAAGTTTTTGGATGTATTTTATGTGGAAAGATGTCTACTGGGTAGCGCAGATAGAATAATTGTTGCAAGGAATAAACCGCTTATTGTTTCAGTCTTTTATCTTGAAAGAATTGATTTATTCAAATTATAGAAGGATGACCACAGATCAGTCAACATCTGTATTATGTTCTTGTGGTTTCAACAAATTCTTTTTTTTTCTTTTAGCACCACAAACTTTCCCGCTCCATGTTGTACATTACAGTAATTAGATAAATTTCACAGACTGTCATACACTATTTTAGAAGTTATCGCTTTGTAATGTTGATTCTTTAGAGAACACCGATCTGGATAATGCCGAATCTCTTTTAATTAGCTTATGAGGTGCCCTGTGGCCGTACTAACACAATTGAGACTATGATCAGAAAGTTATGTAGTCCAGTGATAAGTTTATGATAAATCTCGCAAAAGTTCAGGGGGTTTGTCAAATTTGCCCTTGAATCATTACTTTGACATTGCCGTATAATATATGTATTATTCATTAACGCTGTTTGTACTCTTGTTCAGGTGGATTTCGTGGCTGACAATTACATGTTTGCTCCCCCCGGCCTCCCACCTTTCATTTTCTTGGATCAAAACCGTCCGTTCGCATGCAGTTTGCACAGTCTTTTATTCTGTTCAATAGGGAGAAAAAATATATAAAGGTTGCATTGTTGGAATTATCATTTTCTTTGGCCAAACACGGTAATAAAGAATAAAGTGTAAATGTTAGAGGAAATTTAGGCAACACCAAAGAGAATAATAAATAATTCTTGTAAATCCGCATTACAACCAAGTTCGAGCTGTTGGAATTAGAATAGGTTCGACAGCATATCATGAATTCTTGGCGATCTTCTCTATCTAATGAATGATGAGTCTTTTTGGACACCCCCCGAGTATATGATTCAACAGGAATCACACAGGGGTAGATTGATAGAAACCTCTAGTAAAATACCCACCAGTACCCGTAACCCAGCGGATAAAGTACATTAAATAGTCCGTTATAGGGATGGGTGACTTACCCATTCAGCGACTTTGGCACTGGACGTTCCTAAAATGGGTACTATCGGGTCGGGTGAAATAGAGAATAAGCAGACGCCTGCTGGCATTCTAGCCTCTCTTGTCGCCGGGTTCTCCAATGATCAGCACCCTCCTCTTCATCTCCCTTTGCCTCCATTTAGTAGCTGTAGGACTGATGAGCCCAAAGCTACTGCCTCTCTCGCATTCTCTCTCTCTTTAGTATGTTCACGGTTGGCCCTCGAGGTTGTTATCCAATTTAGTGCCTTACCGAAGAACGCTGTACATTTCATATGAAAACAAAATCTTGCCCAAATCTTCATGTTCATTAACGCTTTTAATTGACGTGAACATACGGTGCTTTGCGCCTCAACATAAGAGCATTCTAGAAAATATTACGTCGTTGGCAATTGAGACAACCTCTGAAACCTTATCATCCAAAATTAGTAACCTCCAAATTTCCTTCCAAAAATAGAATGACAAGGAGAATGGAGGATGCCCACCTATATCTTTCAGTGGATAACGATACAGGAACCTCTTTTCGGTGTATCTGGCAATATTTTGAGAGTCGGGTATGTTTTGGCCCTGCTTGAATGATGATGAAACAACAGAAATATATATATGGAGAGGAATCAGAACAGGATAAAATTAAACTTGACTGATTTTAAACACTCAAAAGTATTTGTCAGGTCCTGAATTATATCTACGATACGTTATAATTCATTGGAAAAACATAAACAAATGAAATTGGTTCGGGTTTATTAGACTGCAATACCAGGAATCCAGCATACTTTGTTTCCTCGGAATGAATATGTATACAAATTCAAAAACTCTAACAATTGGACACCTGCTCTTTCTCGAGTATTCCATATGTGCATCGCTAATGTGCAACGATGGTGTTTCAACCTTACAGGAGCAGATCCAGGCTTTGAGCAGGTTGGCTAATTCGGCGACTAACAAGGAAGTCTGGCTCTCAGACGAAGACGCTGCTGATGCACCTGATACGACTGTGTGAGTCGCGAGGAGGATACTGATTTTGAGATACGAGGCTAGCCTCTGACAAATGGGAAGGTGGGCGGAGGAAGTATATCTGGGCAGTCGCTCCGCCTTGTTCTTCGCTCAGTTGATCGTTTTATGTTGATGTATTTGTCTTTCTTTAGTATCTCGGTTTAGTTATGACTACTTTAATTTATTCGTGTAGATATCTGTAAACTTATGCATTGCTTTGTGAAATTGTTAGTAATGAAACTGGAGGTTATTACCTCTTGTTTCATCCATAAAAGAACAAAAAGAAAATACGATACATATTTTCAGGTAGTACTATTTTATAGATCAGATTAAGGGATCTATAATTACTACAATCTTTAAAATTACGTAAAATGTAACGTTTTTTTATACTATTTTGTTGACCGAAGGTAGAAAACTGGAAAGGAACAGTAGGCTTAAATTTCGAAGAACTAGAACAAACCCAATATTAACAGAGATTGTGAGAACGTATATACGCTTGTTATTTTGATCTTTGGATCTCGCAACTCAAAACAAAACCCTACGAAGATTATAAAAAAATAAAACCCTGAGCGGATCATTTAGCTTGCGAAAAGCTCTTCTCAACAATAAAACGTGCAAAAAATAAATAATGTAATCGCGAGGGTTGTAAATACAAGGAAAAAAAAAGGAATTTTCTGGTTTAGTAAAGATATTGTGCTTACTTTAAAAAGGTTTTGAGCACAGCAATCACTCCTTTAAGAGTGGGGTAGAGAGATAAAAAATGGTAAGTTACATGATCTTCTTTTTATTTATTTATTTATTTTTTAAATTACAATTTTATCATTATTTAACTGATCTCTCATCTTACGGCTTAACAGAATCTTCTGCTAGTTTTGAACGATTGTAGTAATTTTTTAAAAATAAAACATTTCATGATACTTTTCGGCAGACCCCCAAAATAAGCCATATGCAAGAGTTAGACCCTTGATAATTCTTATGGTTAGTATTGTAAAGTTTACCATAAATGGTACCAAATATTTTGGGTTATTAATAACAGAATTAGTTAGCAGCATAAATCATGAGGGAGGTGGACAGGTCCCATGCTTTATTACAGATTGAGATCCAACATCATCATTAATATAAGGGAAAATTGCTTCGAGGCCCCAAATCCCAACTTTGAATGTGCCCCAGCCCCCAACTTTCACACGTGCTGCATCCCTATTTTTCTGAAAAAATTATGTCCAAGCCCCTCTCCCCAAGTTTTCACACAAACGCCATACAGCTCCGTTCTCTAAGCATTTCCAGGCGATGGGGGCTTGGCGGAGATGCTAGACGCAGTCCACGTGCCAATGGGGGAGGAGAAGAATGTGCTAATGGTTTTCGTTTTGAGCTCAATGTGTGCACTGTAATAGTTAACATGTTATATATATAATAGTTAACATCTTATCTATAATAGTTACATGTTATCTATAAAAGTTAACATGTTAACTATAACAATTAACATCCGCTAGCATGAGAAAGAGAAAGAGGGTGGAATCAGAATTTTAGGAGCTGACATGTCTAATCATGAGCTGGAATCATGATGGAGGGGTCTGGACATAATTTTTTCAAAAAAAAAGGGGCTGAAACACATTAAAAAAAAAATAGGAGGGGTTGAGGCACATTGAAAGTTCAAATTTGAGGCCTAGAAGCAATTTTTCCTTAATATAATATAAAGAGGGAACAAATACCCATTTTCTTTATCCTAAGCAGGCGAATAAATCCTTCGCCCATTGACCCACCCACCCGCCTACCCGCGGCCGCCGCTCGCCGTGACTGATCCTCCCTCCGATCTCCTTCGAATTCTTTCCCGTTTAAGAAGAGAGAGGTAAAACTGGCTCTTTTAAAAAATCACATTTTTCTCCGTTATCTAAATTCTTTTTTATGGGTGTCCTGTTTCGTACTGCAATCCTAGATTTTTTTTATTAATAAAAATGATTTCTTTTGGGCAAATTTTTGATGGGTTTAGTTTCTCTTTTGTTATTTTCGCTAATTTTTTTCTCCATTTTATTGGAACTGACGAGTATGCAATAATCTTTTGACTGTTAGAGAAATTATTGTTGACAGCCATGGATTCGAGTACCCAATCAGAATCTCCGGAGGAAGAAGTAAGGTCCTTTTTTGATTCTGCTCCGCATCTCAAGAATAGTGATCTTATCACGCAGAGGTTAAAAGATTTTGTTGATAAGAATTCTCATGCTTCGGGTATAACCTTTCATTTACAATAGTTCTTAGTTCTTTTCGTCTTTATTTTAGCTTGTTAAAATGGGCAAGCACTGTGAATATTGTTTTAATTCTCTTAGAAAATGGAAAGCCAAGAAGGATTGTCTGTGTTACTTCTGGAGGTACTACTGTTCCATTAGAACAACGATGTGTTCGCTACATTGATAATTTTAGCTCAGGACACAGAGGAGCAGCGTCCACAGAGTATGAGATCTTCCTTTACTTTGATAAGTAATGAATTATTTGAGATGGGTTTGAAGATTTTGTCAAAAGAAAAAAAGGAAAAAAAAATTTGAACTTTGAGTAATAATGCAGGTATTTTGTGAGGGCTGGGTATGCTGTTATATTTCTCTATCGGAGGTAAGATCTCATTTGCTATAAGGACTTCATAGTATTTCAAATGAAATAAAAACTAGGCTGTTTACTATGTTTGAAGATAAATGTCATACTGATGGCTTCTCTTTGTAGGGGTAGTTGTCAACCGTACTGTACATATCTTCCGGAAGATTCATTCCTCGATTTTTTTGAGCTATCAGAGGACTCAACAATCCAAGGTCTGTGAAGTTCTAAATTGCTTGTTCATAATTTTGTCGATGATTCAATCTGATGGATGAACTAATCTATGTTTCACGGTTCCCTTTTCTTTATATATTGTATAGGATCATTCTACTGTGTAATTTTACCTAGCTATAATTATAACTATGTCTTAGAAGCTCGTTATGGTGTACTTTGGAGCATATGACAGTTACCTACATAGCCTTTTACTGTAAGTCATGAAGTTTCCGACTATTATATGTGAAGCTTACGCTTTTGTGCTTCACATATGCTTAGGGCATCTCCAACAGCTGCTCCAAAATTTTCTCCAAAAGTTATATTCTCCAACTAACTTTTACACCAACTCCAACAGTTTCCCCATTTTGAAGAATCCATTTTTTCCTCCCAAAATTTGGAGAATGCTGCAGATTTGGGGAAGCTTCCCTATTTTTTCTCCTCCATCCCTATTTTAGGGAATGAGATGGGGAATCTGTTGGACCAAAAATCTAACTAAATTCTCCAGAAGTGGAAAATGGGGAAGCTGTTGGAGATGCTCTTAGCATAAAGATTTCCCTGCCAACTTGTTCGTTCTTTCTCTGAGTAACTCATAGAGATTTCAACCAATTATGACTGCCTACCAGGCTACCATACCATCTCCTAGTAATCGTTGTGTTTTACCTGTATTTTTGTATTAAATCCATCTGTTATTTCCCACTTCTCCAATCACCAGAAACACCAATCTCAGCCATAATTCTATGTCTGGAACACCATTTTATATGTTTTTTCATGTAAACTAACTAAAGCATTTCGTCCTTGTGAAACATCTGTAATTTGTCTGAAAATTGTTTCTTGGAGGAAACCAGGTTAGCTTAGGAGCATATATAAAAACTCAACCAAGTTCAGATTATTATGAATTACTTGTTTGGTTGCTCTTTAAACTGAGTCTCTCCCACTGGAACAAGTATAGATAAACGCAAACAGGCATCGTGCACCCTATTGAACAATCATGCAAAACAATGTTAAGATTTTCATTGTTAGCAAAGGAAGTGGTCATTATGAACAGATCTTTAAGAATCTTAGACTCTTTAAGTTTTTACATATTCCAATAAAGTATTTTCATAATCATATGTTGAAACCTTTTTAAAGTTTTGGAAAGACTTTGAAGCTTGGAGTTAATTCCTAATTCCACAATCTTAAATTAGTATAGCTCTCTTTGATTTATTCATCCCCCATGGTAAGATTCTTGCAGAAAACTTTTTATTTCTCGACTTAGACATGATAGTGTCTGGTTGTCTGAGGTAACATGTATTATCTTGCCATGGTTTAGCAGTTCCATTCATTGTGTTATAAGACTCACCGATGATACTAACTGGGCTATGTTTGAAAATGATAGTTCGCCAGTCTCATTCTGCAGTGGTTAAGAAGTCAATCCGAGACTATCATGCGGTACTTACTTCTTGTTTCATGCTCTTCTGTTTCTTTTCGTATATTGGTTTTAACATATATTTAGTTCTTGCTATATGCAGGCAGTGGACCATGGTTTTTTGCTGGAATTGCCATTCACCACTATATTCGAATATCTTCAGGTTTGTGCGCATATATTTGTGATGTGTATTTTATATTGCATAACAAAGTCCATTAAACTCTGGCATTTTGTCTAGAAGAAAATGACTCCTATGGCTGTTTGTTTCTTGGTTTGTTGCATAAATTCTTCATCTCACTCTATTGCCAATTGTCTTGGGAAAAACATTATGAGCAAATTGTGACGATTTATTACCGACCTGTAGTTAAGGATTTCTTTAAAGACGCTGATCGATTACACGACTATTGAGTTGCATATAGATTCGTCAAGAAGAGTAGTTTTCTTGCTAGATAAATTTATTTTTATTTTTATTTTTTGAGAGAGAAACTAGATATCCTAATCTGAGTAGACGACAACGGATTGATTTTTCTTGCTAGATAATTGTTTCGCATATCTGATAACAAATAAAATGGGTGAATCTGGAGGAGAACAAAAAAAGCGCTTCGCGCTTCTATTCATTTACTAATTATGCCCTGGAGATCGCTATCAATTAAAGTCTTTCTTTTCTAACTTTCATTTCTCGCTAAGATATTATTTTTCATCTTTTTGGTTATAGTATTGCGAGACTTTAACAACTATTCTCCTTGAAACTTCGCATAACTATCCCTTATCGGTGTTTAACACTATGTTTTATTCTCATGCAGCAACGTTTCTTGTTATCATTTTTTTTTTCCTCTCAACAGATACTACAGATGGTGGCTACATCAATAAGTCATTTTGGATCTCACGGGATGTTCTATCTTGCTGCTGCAGTATCCGACTTTTATGTCCCGTGGAATGACATGGTATAAAAAAATTTAAAATATGTTACATCTTTTAATTCCAAGTAAATCTATTTCAACTCATATCTTGTTTAAGATCATTGATAACCAATGTAGTCTTATTTCCTGCCAACCGATACAATAACAGCACAAAGGTTTATTATTATTATGTTGTTTTAGATCCCAAAGTTTGACACGTGGGTGAATAACACAGGCAGAACACAAAATCCAGTCAGCATCTGGTCCCCTCGACATGCGACTGACCCAAGTGCCAAAGATGCTCTCGGTTCTCAGGAAAGAATGGGCTCCCTCAGCATTCTGCGTATCTTTCAAGGTTAGTGACTTTCCTTCACTTGCCACACTTTGCTCTTCTTTCCTCTTTTCTTCTCCTGTCTCTTTTCATTTTGTTCTCTCTTATAAGCACTATGCGGTTTCGCATTCCCGTCAAGATTACAGTAAAAAACTGGCAGATCTTTTAAGTCTTAATTATGCAAGAGAAGAAAGAAAGTCTAATCTAAAATGTTGGTATGGGACTGGTCATAGACATGCGTAGACGCCCTGTTGGATACTTCCAATACTTTGCGATGATGCGGATACTTGTTTCCTTGTCATGTACAATAAAATTTCTAACAAATACCAGGCATATATGTGGGATGCATCTGAAACAGAGAAGTTAGTAATAATTCTTCCATTCGGTTTTAGTTTCATTTCTAAATGTGTTCATATGATTTTTCCACTTGTTTAGATAGACAATTTAAATGGCTTGAATACCTTTTTAAGGATCCATGGTATACTGCTGTATCTGACCATTTTAGCTTTAGCAACCCTTTGTTACATAGATACATATACGTACGGTACATACATAATAATATTCATGCTTTAAAATTTACACTAGTCAGGTACACAAGAATACAAAGGCACGCTAACTAACTGCATCCCTGGCCCGATATGTTATTCGTCCAATTTACATAAAACGTTACACATGTATCTTTAGATCTGTCTGTTATAGATATTGATGCATCCAATTTTTCGTCGAACATAATGTACACTGTATGATCATACTTTAACTGATTATTTGGAATCATACAGTTGGAAACGGATCCAGATATCTTGCTTAAGAAAGCTGATGCGGCGTTGAACAAGTACCAGATGCATGTTGTCGTGGCAAACTTGCTTGCTACGTACAAGCAAGAAGTTGTAGCTGTAACAAAGAGTCAGAGGACTACAATTCGCAAGCATAGCCAGGAGGCCCATGTTGAAGAACAAATCATAGAGCTTCTTGTAGAGAAACACGCTGATTATTTGGAACAGCCTTGAATGGGTTCCCCGTCTACAGTTAAACGATGCTATCTCGTATGCGATACTTCTCTACAGTGAAAGTAAATTTCTTTATTTTCGATTGTATTTATTATACATGATTTGTAACATGTCAACTTACTTGCAAATGAATAAGTTTAGCTTTCGGGGTTCCTTGAACTTGGATGAGGGCTCTTGCATCAAAGGATTGTATTGTACCGTCAGACGTAACAAATATTTTACACGAAGCTGTAATGTTTCTCATAAGATCTATTAAATTCTATAAATTTCTTGTAGACGATGCCGACAGTGGCTTTATGATTGAAGCTCATCATCACTGACTGCCTACTCTACCAACTTCTCCCGGAGAAAACATTCAGAGCCTCTAAATAAACAATCATTTACTAACGTAGAGCTGTTACGTGCAAGTGTAACTTTGTCATAACAGTTTGTTGCATAGATTACAGAATTGTGAACTGGGCATAGTTCCGAAAAAGAGCAAGGATTTGAACTCGCAATTGAGAATGTATCAAAAAGCCACCATTTTACATGAGCTCTAACCAACTGCTTTACAAGTGAACCACCTCTGGAAGATCCATGACAGAAGTATCGCGACACCTAAAACATGAAGCTTGGAAGGCATAGACCACTACTGTGTGCAAAAACAAATTTTACATCTGAATTCAAATTAAAGAAGAGTGAGGAACAAACACATTCATTCCCCAGAATAGACAAAAAGAAATGGGGGAAGGAAGAACCCTACTTTTCCCATGATTGCACAAGAGCTGCCATACTATGCAAAACTGGAAATAAACCTCTCTTCAATTTGGAAAGCCCAAACGCTCACTTCCTACCAGTTGTGACGCGTGGTTTTCCTTTGACCTCAGCCTCCTGTTCCAAAGAGAGAGAAAAGGTCGAGAATATGAGTACCAGAAAATAAGCCCTCAGTTTCCAGCAACAAATGTAAACTGCGATTTATTGCACTGGAATTGCTCAAATTGAATGATAAAAGACCGTTTGCGCAGAAGAACAGCTGAGGGGTTGCTGTATTCGATTGTTGGGAGAAAACGAATTATCGAGGAACCTCTCTACCAACATAGAGCATGGGTAACTATACTACAAATTGCATATTAGTCTTAAATATCTTCTAACTAACAATATGGGTCATGGGTTTTGGATTAAAATTCACAACAAACGAGAGCAAATGTTTGTATCTTTTAGTAAAAACTGGTGTGAATTTGTAGTACAATCAGCTTTAGTAAATCTAAATTCTGCACATGAACAAACCTGTGGGCTATGAAGATAGATATATGTCTTTGCAGTTGCTGGGTTATGATTTTCAGCACCTTTGCTCCAATCATAGCAGACCTGCATGATATAGCCAGGATATATTCAGTACAAAGTGCACTCTATGGAAGTCATCAAAATGGTCAAGTAGATAAACATAGCAGTTACATCCAAGCCACTAGCTACAGTAAAACAAAATTAATTACATGCATGCTATACGTGAAGAATCATATATAGATTAGTTCATCGTTTCAGTTATGCCTCATGAAATCATGTCCCCAAGCATTTCCAAATTAAATCATGTGTACCTCTCCTTACAAAATAGGCAACCTAAAAACCCATTCATTAATTGACTTCCTTTTATGGGATGATGCAGATCCACCACAAGGGTGAGGGGATCCATGACTGTGGCCCCATATCCAATTCAAACAAATGTTTTATTCCTTTCAATAACAAAAATGGCAACTTTAGTGCAGACTTACATTCTAAAACTACTGTTGTCGGGTCTTTAATGATATTATCTCCAAGAATGATGTAGACTTCTAGTTCAAGTCAGTCAATGCAGCATAACTATAATAATTCCTACTGTCACAAGAACTCTATCAGTCAATGTTGTTCACAAATTCATTAAGAAACAATAAAAACTAAACCAGTTATGGAAGCTGAAGAAGTTCACTAGAAGGTAGTCAGTATGCACAACCTCAACAACAATGATAATAACAATCACAATAACAATGGTATGGAACTTGAGAACTGTTGTAAGAGCAAGTTGAATAAACATACTTGCAAATAGTAGCGCCAGCAATACAGGAAAAAACAGAGTGAAAAAGATAACAATGAGAAAATGACAAGATATGTGTGAAAAGGTAATAGCGAACTTCCAGCTACAAAGCATTGTAAAACAACAAAAAAAAAGTCACTTTCTTCCAGCTGTCATAGATAAGATTCAGAGCTAATTGAGGAAATACTCACCGCATAGGCAAAAATTGATCCATCATTGTTAAAGGTGCTGCAAGGGATCGGATGACAGCATCTAGCCATAGCCTGATAAATTAAAAGAAAAGGTCAACTTTAGAGCCATTCTATGATTCCATTGGCGGACAGCAACCAAAAAGATTATCATTTTAACCATGTAAAATCTAGTCAAGCGATTCAAAAGAAATAAGACCGATATGATTAAGGAGTAACAGTTGCACTTGCATCTTATTTCAATCTATAAGCATAAATTATATAAATCAAAAGTGAGCTGTTCTATGCAATGAATGCAATAATCTAGATTTCTAGTAGTAAAATAATACTGAGTGACCTTCTACATGAATGAGCAAGGGAAACCCACAAATTTCCAAAAGAGGATGCTTTTTGATGAGAAAAGAAAATTCATTAGTTCCCATTTACCCAACAACAAAAATTACCAAAAGAAGAAGAAGAAGAATCATAAAGTGAGCATAGAAAGCTTTTTGAGCATGCAATGCAAAAAGGGTGATTGCGAGGTATAGTTATTGGCTAACTGAGAATGATTCTTTCTGTAATTTCTACAACAATGTCTACAAACTTGACCCAAGCTACAGCTTAGACAGAAAGAAAATTTTACTCCGTCAAGTAAATATATGGAATAATTATACTGGGTGTGAATTCTAGGCAATTTAAATGCAACAGCTTAATGTTTGCTCAATTCCGTGTGATTAATATTGTATATATTATATTATATAAAATATAGTATTAATAAATAGAACGTTCTTTTTTTATTAATTCTGTTCTCCACTACCAGATGTCAAGTATATTCTTGCATAGCTTACAATCATTTCAATGTCAATCAATAAAATCAAGGTAAACAGGTACGAGTTACAAACAGGTCATCTAATAATTAATAAATGCATTGAGTATAACCATAAGGGTATGTGTTCGGCCCCCCTGTTTAACCCAAATGACTCGATTATGACTTTTCACGTATACAATAGCTCCCATATATAAGCTATGCTATGCATATGATTGTGCAACAACTCTTGGGTAATGCAGACATTAAACTTTTTATCGCAGGCAGTAAACAATATAATTCAGCAATCTTAGCACAAAATTAGAAGATGGCTAGCGGTTAGGCTACATCATTTAAGTGCACTCAGTCACAGTGCAATCCTGGTAGTTTTGATCCCTTTTCAAACATGAACTTTACTGCAAAATGGGTTATGGTAGCTGCCTAGCTGTTCGGTTAAATCTGGCCATATAATCATGTCCTGCGTTAATTAGAAAGTTGGACCCGACAATTTCCCTAGTAAGAAGACGACTGACCCAACCCAATTTCCATCACCATTTAAAGTTCTACAAGTGATTCTCCTATATGCGCCTGACAATCATATCTAGGTAATATGCTTCAAAAAGCTGGACCCGACAATTTCCCTAATAAGAAGACTACTGACCCAACTCAATTAATCATGTCCTGCGTTAATTACAAAGTTGGACCCGACAATTTCCCTACTAAGAAGACGACATACCCAACTCAATTTCCATCACCATTTAAAGTAATACAAGTGATTCCCCCATACGCACTTGCCAATCATATCACTAGGTAATATGCTTCAAAAAGGTAGTTGGTTTTGAAAGGATGCCAAAATTAGACATACTGTCAATATGGGTGGTATATGCTGTAATAAAAAGAATTAATGCATTGAGATTTAGTCTAGACACAACTTATTAATTTAGCAGGGATATAACTTATAACCATGACCCATAACTATTCCAATATTGCCTATCAAAAGGTAGATAAACTATTCCAGTAATGTCAAATAGTTCTGGAAATCAGTGGGTCACCTTATAGATTCGGTGAATGCTATGATACCCCGACACGGTAATTTTGGCGCCGCACCTATGTCGGGTGCGGTTTGGGTACGTTTCCGCACCCAAACGGAGGGGACACGGGAGTTTTGGAGCAGAGGAAAATGGGTTTAGAAGCAAGGAAGAAAAAGACTCACTCTCTCTCTTATTTTCTTAGTTTTAAATTTGTTAGTGGAAGATGACACCACCATTCACATGGGTGCTTGACTATTTGCTTTTGTCTTTTCTTTAAAATTAATGGTAATGCTAAGAATGGGAGACGTGTTCTCATATTTAAATAGGTAAGTGTATATGTATGTATGTATATACGTACGTATTTATTTAATTATTTATTCTTTTTTTGATGCTTATGTGAAATATAAAGTCAAAGTTTCAAATGATTTTACTTTATAATTTTAAGGAATGAGCTTATTTTATTGAGAATTTGAAATTAAACATAGTAAAATTGCTATAGTTAATATAATTGTTAATTGCTTGCATGTAATGAAGAGTTAAAGATGGAAGTTGGAAAGTTACAAAGCCTTTCACATGCTGAATTGTTGATTAAACTTTTATTTTTTTTTATTGTCGTATCCTCGTACCCGTGTCGAAATTTAGGACGGTGTCCCCGTATCCAAAATTTTTAGAAATTTCGTATCGGACACTCGGATCCGCACCCGTATCGGATACTCATACCCGAGTCCAGGTAACGTAGGTGTAGACACAAACCTCCGCAGGCGACGACTCGAGCGGGTGAGGTGAGCTCCGGTGAGCGACCGTGGGCAATGCAGTCTAGGCGAGATCTGTCAGGTAGCTCAGGCGAGGTCGATGACGAGGCTAGGCGAGTTCGTTGCGGTCGAGCTCCAGGCGGGCGTCGGCTTCAGGCGAGGTCGTGAACACGTAGGCGAGCTCGAGCGACATCAGGCAAGGTCGAGGCTCTGTAGGCGAGCTCGAATTGTACTGCAGGCGAGCTCGACGGTGCATGCGGGCTTCGGGCGAGTAACGACATCAAGCGAGCTCCGTGACAGGCTGTTGGCAGCATGTCTCCAGCTGGAGCTAGGGTTTCCCTATAAAAGAGAAACCCAGAGCTCAAACCCCGTTTGCTTCTTCTCGTGCTTAGATCCAACAGTGGCGGCTTCTCTCTCTCTTCTTCACGCGTTCTCTCTTTCCAGCGGCGGCTTTGTTTTTTCTCCAGCTCTCA